AGCCCTGGCAGTCCTGGAACTTGCTTTGTAGACCAGGCTGGCCTCGAACTCACAGAGGTCCACCTGCCTCTGCCTCCCGAGTGCTAGGATTAAAGGCTTGTTGTACCACCACCCAGTTAACATGGGCCATTTTCAACAGCTCAGCTAATTTCAGGTTGTATGCATCATAGGATGTGATAGGCATTCTCCAAGATGGTCCCCAATGGTCCATTCTTCTTGCTATACATGCTTTGGCACATTCTGAGTGTGGACTGGAGTTAGTGACTTTCAGAGAACATAGCAAAAGTAAAGGATTCTTAGGTTATAAAGAGAGTTCTCTTTTTTACTTCCTTGCTCTGAAAGGAGCCAACTACCATGGTGGGAATGACCCTATGGAGTGGGCTAGACACTTAAAGACTAAAGAGAAAGAGCCCCATACCAGAGAACACTAGAAATTCTAGAAATTACACAAAAGTACACAGAAATGCCCCAGTTTCTTCATTAAATAAAATGCAATAGGAGAAAGACAGGGACAGGAATTCTTATGCTTAAATATTCAAAGACAGATGGATCAAGTACAATATGTGGAGCTCATAAGCATCTGCTTGACATCTCCAATGCTGCTTGTAATGAGCTAGTTCACAGAAAGCCAATCTTGCATAAGCCAGAAATAAGAAAAGCTGAATTTTTTCTTTTAAAGGCTGCTCAAGGCTTTGCAACCTTGCCAAGAAAGCCAGGACTTCCAGGTTACATGGGGAGAAGATAAAAATAGTTTACGTTAGATAAGTTGTTTGTTATCCTCTGCCCAAGGAATTCGATATTTCTTAAGATGCATGAATGGAAAGATTGCAGAATGAACAGGAAATTACTGGTAATGCAAAGAAACTGAACAGGGCTTCCAGTGTTATCAGTGGCAGGTAAAACAATGGGTAGCATTCAGGGCTACAAGGAGCCAGGCTGGGAGTGGCCAAAATCACAAATAGCCCATCCATTCATCTCAGTCCATACAGAAAAACAGTTCAAAACCTGTATACTCACTCACAATCAGAACACAGTAAGCCAGGAACAGAGGGCAAGTCCCTCAACATCATAATATAGTTTCTATGAAAACCCAGCTCACACAAGGAGGAAAGAATGTCTACATCTCCACCTCCATCCACACCACAGAACCACAAGAAAGAAAGGAAAGCATCCAAGCTGGAAATAAAGAAAACCACCACTCATCACAGAATCTGACTTCACATTTAGAACCGCCCCCCAAAAAAACTGTTTTAAAAATGGTGAGAGCTAATACCATGACATTTGAGGGTGTAAAATCAACAGACAAAAATCAGCTATATTTCTTCTTCACATTTGTGATGAACAGAGATTTAGAAAACCAGTCCACTTACAAAAAGCATTGAAAAAAAGTAAAATTATCAAGATTAAATTTAAGGAACTGAACAGGAATAGACATTGAAACCTAAATACTGGTGGAAAAAATGAAGACTTAAATCTACATTCAAGATGGCAGTGCAACTAAAGCAGCTTAAAGACTCCATGCAAATTTCAATATTGTTTTTTGTAAAGCTGGAAAAATACATTTTAAAATTTATATACAATTTCAAGATATCCAAAATATACAGAATTACCCTATAATGGACATTGGATGACTAACCTTTTCAGCTTTACAACAGTCTCCAATTAAAAAAAAAAAAAGCAGCCATGCAGGCCAACTGAAGACAAAGGGTCACATCTTCAGTCAACTGATTTTCAAAAGTGGTCAGAAGACCATTCTCCTGGGGAAAGCACAGTGTCTTCCACAGTGCCAGTAAAGGTGGAAAGACACTGGGAAAAGCATGAAATTGGAGGCCGTGATAATTCATTTCATGTATTACTTTCCTTGGAAGAACGCCCAGAAAGGGAGGAATGCCCAAGAGAAAGTTTGCCTTTGCCCGTGGGTGGGCATCACCTAATTTCCTGAGAGCCTGTGTAGAGCTGGACTCTACTCAGAAGACAGAAATGATCACCATGTGAGCTGCAGCATCTAGTTTTCCTGCCCTTGAACACTGCAGCTCCTGACCGTTAGGTCTTTAGAATCGGACTGGGGCATGGACAAGCCATTCGCCCCCCTTCTCAAGAATGCGTACTCACACGGAATCACAGCACCAGCTTGCTGTTGCTGCATAGCTCACACTGCCTCTGTACCATGTAAGCCGAATCCAGATTAGCTTCATCTCTTAAATGCCTGCCCTCAACTGCACGGACATACACAGAATAGGCTGACTCTATGAAGAATCCTAACACAGACCCTTTCCTTACACAATGTATGGGAATGAACTTAGATGGATTACAGATCTACAGTAAGAACTAGCAGTTTTAAAATCTTTGAAGAAAATGGGAAAACCTTCACTGCTTTACATTTGTTTGATTTCTTTGATATGCAACAAAAGAAAAAGAAAATACACTGGATCAAAATGTAACTGTGTGGGTCAAAGGATACGCTGAAGAGGGACCGCAAGCCAGTAATGTGCACAATGGTTTCACACAGTAACTCATTCTTAGAGAGTGGATCCTTCAAAAGTACCAAACGGTCATGACACGGAATCAATGGGAAAAAGTGTACAATTGCTTTAGACTGGGATGTAGTAAACTGATGAGACCTCAAAGAAAGAAAAGGTGAGAAAATCCAGTATGGAGTTAGGAAGGAATGGGCCTGTAAAACACAGGAAGTAAGGTACGAACAAGGAGACAAGTGCTTTACCGTCCGTGAAGTCTGTAATAGGCGAGCTGAAGAGCAAGCTGAACAAAGGTATCAGGGTGAAGCGCTTCCTTCTTGGTGAGCTTTTTGCCAAATGATGTGAAGGAATATGCTGCTATCTGTACATCAGATGCCTAACAGAAAATTAAACAGGAGCAGTGAAAAAAATCACAGAAAGGAGAAACTGAAAGTTGAAAGGGAATGAAATTATTTGCTTTACTCATTAGACATAAAGAATTAAAGGAGTTAAGGTTATAATTTTAAAATGTTTTAAGAAGCCATGCTTGGGTAACAGCAACATTTTCATATATGGCAGCTAGCATAGAAAACATTGCTAACGTAAAAGAAACCCCTGAACCTACTGCTTTAAGATGCTGGGCTCTGGCTTGGTAGGCGTCATTTAGTATTTTCTCATCCACAGTGAAAACCAGCTCCTCTGGAAGTGGTATATCCCGGACTTTTTCTGAACCCTGAAAACAGAAGACTTTAAATATATCCGTGAGGAAAACAAAACAACAACAAAAAACCACTAGCAAAAAAGGATAATGGACTTGTTATGACATACCTTCCATCTTCCTTCTGTTTCTAAGATTCTCTCATCAACATAATGGGCAACGTTCACCATAATCATGGCATCAAAAGGGGCATGCTGAGATGGAAACACAAGATTTTGTGTAGTTTGTGTCAAATTAAAACGTGACCTAGCATTGTTCACTTTCTTCACTTTTAATGGGTAAGTTTTGCTCACCTTTCAGTATCCAACTTCCTAATGATACAATTCTCTCCTACAGAATAAGAACTATTTATTTTTCAAGACTTTTTCAGGACTTTTTCTGGAGCTACTAGAACAAGTTGGTTATTTCCTAACGAGGTGGTTATTGGAGTCACACAGCTAGGAGAGCTCCAGTGAGCCTAAAGCTATAAATACAATAACCACATCAGACAGTCTACCTGAAAAGTACTACATTGGCAAAAACAAGGAAATATCTTTATAATGAAAATATTTAGACACTATGTCTGTGTTATCCAGATAATTTCATCAAGAGAAACTGATTGAATTATGACAACTAAAACCACTGACAAGATCAGGACTATAGCTCAGTGTAGACTACTGGCCCAACTTGTACCCCAAACCCTCTGTTTGCTCTCCATACTACTAAAACAGACACAAGCGCACTGTAAGCCTGAGGCTTTGGACCTTTGTTTTCTTTCATTTCCTTGGTTTACAGATTTCCTGAATACAAGACAGAGCTAGTCAAGTCCATGGGACACAATAAAAGATAAACAAGGAAAGAAGTCATTTTTTTACAATGGTAAAATGGTAGCAATTTCTAGATATTTTATTATTCATAGTCGAATGTCCCAAACATCCTGTCATTTTAAGAAAATAGCCATGCAGTCCTGATATCTTGAAGTAAGAATATGAATTTTAGCAAGAAAATAGGTTTTCAATTATTTTACTGATTATTAAAAAATAGTTTTTTACTTTCCTTTTGAGATTATAATTACATCATTTTCCTCATTCCCTTTACTCCTTCCAAGTCCTCCCATATACCCCTCCTTGCTCTCTTTGAAATTCATGGACTCTTTTTTCATTAATGGCTGTTATTTGCATGTATGTACATATACCTATATATGTATTTCTAAATATAACCTGCCTAGTCTGTATGTTACTTGTATGTCTTCAGGGATGACCATTTGTTACTGGATAGACAGTTGGTGTGTTCTTCTCTAGGAGAACTATCTGATAACAACAGGTGTTAAGAAATGACTCCGCATAAAAATTATATTCAAATTCCCTTTTGCAGACATCTTCCAAACTATTGGCCTACAACAGAAAAACCCGACCTATGTTCTGCTTTCACTGACAAAACTTTTTTTTATAACAACACAAAACTAGAAAAGTGTTTACTTACAGTACGCCACAGTGTGATAAGTATTTGTGGTTTACTAGCCTCAAGTTAGCGTGATAAATTAATGGTGTGTGTGGGGGGGGGTGTAGCACCTTGTTAGTAACATACGTACATCACAACAGGAGCCAAATATTCCATTAGCAAAGGAAACCATATTAAAGGACTTGTCACCCCACCGTACTGCTGGATCTCCACCAAGAAGCATTTCAAAAACCTACAAAACATTGTATTTTTCTAAATTAAAAGTGTTTTGACAGTGGTTTACAAGTAGGCTTAAGAATACGCATCATTTTATTTTTATGTTTAAGTCAACCAAATTTAATAAAACGGTATTTTTGTTAAGATTCAACAGATAATAATTCTGGGTCTGGCTTCAGCTAGTTCTCAAATTTCAAGATAACTAACCAGAAAATAGAATGTTAATACATTATTCATTAATGTTCCCAGGACATACACACAATTAAAAGCAGAAGCCCTTTGAAACTCGGGTAGTATGAGAAGCCTAATGCATTAAGAGTAAAACGTCTAACAACTCATATACCACTAAGACAATATTTGTTTTCAAACTGTAGATTCTGGCATACTAGTGAGTCGTGATACAATTTACAGCAGAATAAATACTATTCCTTAGGAACGATAAAACAAAAGAGAAATGGCAGAGTACATGGCAGATAGCAAATGTAGTCACTGTTTCATGGAGCTTCATTTGAATGTATGTGTACACATTCGTGTGTGTATGTGTGTGCACATGTTTTAAATACAGTGAGCTATGATCTGTGTTTCCAAGTACTATGGTTTGAACAACACTCAATTATTCCATAAATGATACTTCAACTATTTCCTCCTCTCTGAAATATAGCTAAAAATTGGGTTGTTGTTGTTGTTTTTTACTACAAGATCTATAATCCTGGATTTTCCTCCCAAAATAATTTCATACTGATGGATGTATTATGAAATAACAAATTCTTCCAAAAGACAAGCCTTTGCTATTACGGTGACTATGTTTCTCAGGAGGTAAAAGCATTACCCAGGGTTGGAAAATAAAAAATATAAATAAGCCACATTTACACTTAACCTCACTTAAACAGTCAATGTGTTCAGTAAAACTGAATGGTATAACCAATCACTTGTAAGGGTGATAAAATTCTTACCATAGAAGCCCCACCCCAACAGGTACAGGTACATTGGTGCAGGCTATAGATAGTCTTATATCAGCTCTGGAAAGACAAGTTAACTCGCCTCCATGTTTCATGCAAATATTCTAGGTATGCAATTGATGGAAAAGACTAGACAACACTAACATGTACACAAATAATACCCAAGTTTTTACAGAGCACTACTCACTGTTCGATTTGGTACATAATGTAGTTCATAGCTAAGAAAAAAAATTAGGACTCTGATTTAAAAAAAAAAAATCTCATGTTCAGCAGATAATAAGAATCCTCCAGGGAACTGTGCAGGAAGATAACAGAACAAGAAAGTTACCTGAGAATAGTCTTCAGGGGTTACGTGTGGACTGCTTTCTTCCAGGGAATACACAAATAAACTGGTTTGAATTTTTTCTAATAAAGACAAGTTCTCTGGATCAAGACCAATCAGATATTCTCTTGCCTAAAAGGCAAGGAGATTATTCTATATTACAATTAAACATAACACATCTAGAAAACATGAAGGCTTTGTTAGAGAAAGTTCTTTAAGAGCAGCATAAGATTGAAATTAACACAGATATTCATGACTAGACAGTGTACAGACTGAGACACTTTGGAGTGCTCAGCCCTGAAAGGGATGTCTCCATCACCCCTCCCCTCTGGGGTTTATACAGAAGAGGCAGAAAGACTGTAAAGCCAGAGGTGCTGGACAGTTCTAAGGAAACAGCAATTTCTAGATACAACAGCAAATGCACATCTAAAGTCGCAGAGACCACGACAGCATATAGAAGACAAAACTCCCAGCATGAGGGCAGGGAAGTAGGCACAGAGTCCCACCCCTAACCAAGCTATTCACAATGACAGCTTCTGGGAGAAGGAAAATCCATTTTCTCCATTTTTTTTTTCAGAGACAAAAACATGAAGCTGAGCAGGTAGAAAGGGGAAGGAGAATCTGAGAGGATTTAAGGGATGAGAAAGAATATGATAAAAATATACTATTTGCAGAGTACAGGGAATCATAAGAAAGAAGGGGAGTTAGTCTGATGAGGAAAGGATAGGAGCTCCACAAGGACCAAATATATCTGGGCACAGGGTCTTTTCTGAGACTGACATGCAACCAAGGACCATGTATGAATGTAACCTAGAACCTCTGCTCAGATGTAGCCTGTGGTAGCTCAGTAACCAATTGGCTTCCCATAGTGAGGGGAACAAGGACTATTTCTAACAGGAACTCAATGACTGGCTCTTTGGCCTCCCCACCCCCCAAGGGAGGAGCAGTCCTGTTAGGCCACAGAGGAGAGCTTTGCAGCCAGTCCTGAAGATACCTGATAAAACAGGATCAGATGAATGGGGAGGAGGTCCCCCCTATCAGTGGACTTGGCAAGGGGCACGGTGGAGATGAGGGAGGGAGGGAGGGACTGGGAGGGAATGAGGGATAGGGACACGGCTGGGATACAGAATTAATAAAATGTAACTGATAAGAAAAAAATAAAATTAAAAAAAATATATATATACTATTTGAAATTCTCAAAGAATGAAAACAAAAAATAAGATTAGCGTACAAAAAAAAGAACAGCATAAGCCATTACCTTAGCCCATCGAGTGCGCTCCTCACTCGTTAATGCTGCTATACTGGGTCCAACAGGTTCACTACAGCATTTCTTGTGGATATATGTCAGTTGTCTTATGGAAGATTAAAAAAAGCATACTCAAAAAGAGCTTGGACAGGACACATAGGAGCTACAAAGCCTGTATACACACGCACATGGGCGCGGGAACACACACACTATATGTATATATGTATATGTATTGTGATTATGTATTCTATTTATACCAAAAGTATATTGGACAATAATTTATATTTAAAAATAAGTTTAGATGATATAATTCAAACTTTAAAAATGTAAACTTCCAGGGTTTAGATAAATAAATACCTTCTCTATGGGAGAACTTGATTAAGTATTCTGGTAGTTAGTTAATCTTATAGCTATTTTGTACTTCTAACTAAAAATTGTGTAAACATATATAAAGACAGAGAACTTACTGTATGCCGATTATTATTTGTGTTTTACCCAGAAACATAAGTGTCATGTAGCCAATTTTAAATGATTTCCTAAGTATCATTGTATTAATGCTGACAATAATATTGTAAAGACTCAGCTATGTGTAGTGGCGCATGGACTGTCATTCAAGCACTCCAGAAGGCAGAGGAATATACAATTAGACCATGTCTCAAAGAGAGACAAGAAAAAGGGGGGTGAGGAAGAAACCTGTATTATCTAAAGACTCCACTAGATGAGGATAAAGTGTTTCAACTATCTTTAAACAGGTAGCAGTCGAAAATAGGGTCTGCACAGGAACATATTTTTGTTAGTGAAAAATCAACAGAGCTTTAGTTTTTGACCTTCTTCCTCACATCATGTGCTACGAAGCTACAACTTTAAAATATCCAGGAATTGCTGGATGATGATGATGATGACTGCAGCACCAGTCGCATCCTTTATATGTGCTATCATCATTCAAAAATGATGGACAGTTTCCTCTGCTTATGTGTATTTGCAACACTAATCAGAAATCATTTCCCTGCAACAAATCGTTCTCTCTCTCTCTCTCTCTCTCTCTCTCTCTCTCTCTCCTTGAGACAGAGTCTCTCTACGTAGCCCTGGCTGGTTTGGATCTCACTCTGTAGAACAGGCTAGCCTTGAACTCAAGAGATCCGCCTGCCGGTTTTCTGAGTGCTGAGATTAAAGGCATGTGCTACCCCCATCTGGCTTTATTTTGGAACTGTATTCTACGAGCACATGAGGATTTCTTTATCAAACCCCTGAATCTATGAGAGAGCTTGCTTGCTTCGCTTCCTGCTTACTTCAGAGAGGGAAAAAAATAAAGACTAAAAAATGGAGCTCATGTGGCAAAGTTTAATAAGCTGGACCACATTCAAATTAATGATTATTTATTTTTAAAAAAAAAAAGCCTGTAATAGAGCAGAAGAGCAAGTCAGCCTCATGTCCTATCCTGGTAGAACACAGAAATCCAAGGCAGAGCTCTTGTGTAGAGAACTACAGCATTCATACAATAGCTGGACCGCTTATTCGTAAAACCATACTGGGCTCTGTCCTTACCTACTGCAGTGACTGAAGCACACCCCATGACTTGCCAAGTCCTCTGGGTATACCCCAGACACCTGAGTCTTGTACAAGGGTCTTCGCAGTAGCCTGTTTCATTACTCTATTTTGACCTGTGTGGGGGTTTACATTACATGGATATTTAGGAATACACTCAGTGTAGTTTTCTTTTTGTTTGAAATATTGAATAATGATATACTATTTAAGGGGCTGAGGTACAAGTCAATGTGTGTCTTTTGTGTATGCATGAGGGTCTGAGCTCAGTCCCCAGTGCGCATGTGCCAAAGCTAGGCATGGTGACATCTGCCTGTTACCTCAGAGCTAGAATGGCAGTGGGAGACTAGAGTGACAGGTAGATCCCTTGAGGCTCATTAGCCAACCATTTTAGCCAGTCACAGAGCACCAGGTTCAGGATGAGACCCGCTCTTCAACCTATCGTCAACCGCTGGCCTACACACACATACACACATAGGCACTGGTTCATGCACCCACATATACAGATTTACCACATGCAACTATATCAAGTTTTTAAGAGTCATTTAAATTACATATAAATATATACAACTCAACATTTATAAAATCATTTAGGAAATCAGAAGTAATTATAAATTAATATACTAAAGGACTATTGCTACTTTACGCCACAAGCCATTGGATGTGATATGGTTAGTTACACGTATATTTTACTTATATTTTAGAAAAGCATACTAAAATATTTACACTAAAAGACACAATGTCTGAGATTTTCTTCAGGTTATTCACGGAGTTGAAAGAAAAGACAGAGTACAACTGAATGTACCAGGTAAAGACCATGAGAGAGAAAGAGAGAGAGTGTTGCTGAGAAAGTAACACGTGACATGAGAACTAAACGAAAGCTAGTTGGAGAGAGAGGACAAAGGGAGAAGGAGAAGAGGAAAGACCGGGAAGAGGAAACAAAAACAAAGTTTGCTTGAAGAATGTCATAATGAAACCTGATTCTCTGTAAGCCAAGAAGAATAAGGTATAGTTGAAAAGGTGCTGATATTCATAATTGAAGACGTTAGGAGCTGACTCATCTTGTAAGCGAGTCTCTTTATGTTTTGAAACGTTCTGTAATATTGTAAAAAGGCACATAATAATAACATATAGTACAAGTAGATTCACTACAGTTGATCTGGAAATATGGAACACACTAAACTAATAATAGTAATTAATTCTGGAGTAGGGAGATGGGATTGCTAACATATGTAATGTTTTCCTTTTCTTCAACTACAACACATGCTATATATAAAACTGAAAAATTAAAAGCTATTTTTAAGACGAGCATGTATGAAACTCTTATTTTATAACTTACTGTCATTTTAGAGAAAGGCTATTCTGAACATTTTTTTTTAAGCCAAGCAAAAGCTTGAGACCTAAGGATACCCAAGGAAGTAGTCTGAGATAGTCCTCAGATAGTCCAAGTATGTCAGGAGCTGGCAAAGGCCAGGATGATCTTGACCTTAAGTCCTGATCCTCCGGCTGGAATGGCCACCCCGTTTAGAAAGGAGTGCAGGGGACACAAGAAGGCTGGTTCACTACAGCTGTCCAAGTAGGTATATAATTCCAGGCCTGACCACCTGGTGCTGGCTGTGTGTGTGTGTGTGTGTGTGTGTGTGTGTGTGTGTGTGTGTGAACAATTAAAGAAATAGAGGCCGTAAATTTGAAAGAGAGCTAGGGAAAAGTAGGTATACATGGGAAGGGTCAGAGAGAGAAAAAGGAAGAGGCAAAATGACATACTTGTTTTCAAATGATACAGCTTTTTTTAAAAAGCAGGTATAAAAAGGCCATGGAACCAAATTAAAAACATAAAAATAAATTTGAAGGGAGTTATCCCACAGGCTACATAATGCTGGCTCTAAAAGCAACAGGTCACTAACTAAAAGCCCCAGTGAGAGATGTGAGGTACTTCCATAGGAGCTTCTGTTCAGGGAGGTCCCGGAAAGACTCTCTTGCCATTCCTCTTGGTTGCTGTGCTGGCTAGTTTTATTTCAACTTGACACAAGCTAGCATCATTTGGGAAGAAGGACCTTCACCTGAGAAAATGCCCCCACCAGACTGCCCTGTTGTGGTGATTTTCTTAGTGACTGAAGTGGGAGGCCCAGCCCATTGTAGCTGATGCTACTCCTGAAGAAAGCAAGCTAAGCAAGCCATAAGGAGCAAGTCAGTAAGAAGCACCCTCCATGGCCTCTGTATGACCTTCTGTCTCCAGGTTCCTGCCTTGAGTAATTACCCTGACTTCTCTTCATGAAGGACTGTGATAAGGACACATAAGCTGAAGTAAACTGTTTCCCTTCTGAGTTGCTTTTGCTCAGGGTGTTTTATTCCAGCAACAGAAACCCTAACCAAGACAGTCACCAACCAGAACCAGATAAGATCCTACTGTTAAAGAAACCACAGACACTGATTATGAAGTAGAAAAGGATCAAGCTGGAACTGAGCTAAAACTTCTTCCGGTGCTAGCTAGCTAGGAGAAAAGGCATCAACAGACTCGCTCTAAACTCTATGAACTATAATACCACCATGTACCTACCTGTGTCATGAAGGCAGGACTGTCATGGGGATAACCAACTGTTATCATACTGGATCTAATCTATATCTAGTACTGTAGACCTAGTCAAAACCACACGCTTGGAAATATACGGGCCCTAATAGCTACATGAGGCCTGTGGGGGACTCAGTACTGTTGCTTAGTAAAATGGACACAGGGTCAAACTGTCTCTTAAGTACCTATGTTTATACCCACAAACAGATGCTACTCCAATTATTAATCAGAGAAGTTTTCTTCTGTGAGCAGCAGTGAATGCAGAGACTCAGGGCTTACCAGCAAGTTAGGAATAAATGATGGTTGGTGGCTCAGCCCTAAACAAGGCATTTATACTACTCCCTATATGGCTCATGGAAAACGGAGGAATGGGAAACTGAATGAATGTAAAAGCTGGAAGATAGGGAGAAGGGCCACAAAATGTCCTCTGCTAAGTGCAACATAGGCATTCTAGTCATGAGCTTACAGCAGCGGTGGTTATTGGCATTGAGCCTACCAATAGGCAGCCATTGATGGGTGAGGGACTCATGGGCCCTACCCTCTATTAACCAAGTATTGCTGTGGTGGTCTGAATAAGAACGTCCACGTATTTGAATGCCTGGTCCCCAGTTAGTGGGACTGTATGGCAAGTTTAGGAGGTGTGACCTTGCTACCGGAGGAGGTAGCAACTAGGAGTGGGCTTTGTAGTTTCAACGGACCATGTCAGGCCCAGTCTCGCTCTCAGTCTGCCACTTGCGATCACATGTGAGCTCTCAGCTGTTTTTCCAGCACCATGCTTGCTTGCCTGCCTGCCTGCTAATATGCTTCCCACCATGAAGACAATACATCAACCCTTCTAAAATTGTAAGCAAGACTCCAACTAACTGCTTTCTTCTCCAAGTTGCCTTAGACATGGTATCTCTTTATAGAAAGTGAACAGTAACTAAGACAGCTGCCTACTGACAGATTCTCAGAGATACACAAGTCTTCCCTTGTGTATCCACTGCTGAGCCCAGACAGCCCTGGTCAAACTCAGTGAGTCACACAAATCAGAAGGTCATGAATGTGGGAAAGAGTTGTATGGAAAAAGGAGAGCTGTCAGGGATGCAAGGAGAAAAGTAAAAGTAGGGGGCGAAAAATAAGAATACATTCTATAAGTATGTAAAATTTTCAAAGAACAAAATTAATTAGAGGTACATAATTTCTTTAAAAGGTAGTTTAGAGACCTGAGAAGCTCTGGCGGGGTGAGTAAACACCCTTCGTGCAGTACATCAAACACAAACACTCTGCCTCGACACAGCACAGCAATGTGGGTTGGACAATGCCCTTCACTCTCTGGAAAAGGACACAGAAAACACACGGCTCAGTACAGCTCCAGCCATGAGAATATAATTCCTCTAATACACATCATACATGATAAACACATTTTAATGATAAATTTACCACACGTGACATATAAAATGTATCACCTGAACAAAGGGCTCATGGAAGAGGGAAGGATGAGGAGAATCTGACAATGAACGCGAAGCTACGGTCAGACAGGAGTAAATCCTAGTACACCGCTTTACAGCCAGGTAAGCAGATAGATGACTGTGAACTGCACATTGCAAAAGCTAGAAATAAGGACTTTCATTTGGCCATAAAGAGTGGCAGATGTTTGAGGAGACAGGTATGTTTAACTTGACTTGACAATATAGACATGCATTGGCATCATAAGGTAGTTCATTAACATGTACAACATACAACTTTTATGTTTATATTTCTTAGAAAACACGATTTAAGAAAACTGCAAGGCTATAGTTATAGCTCAGTAATAGACTGCTTGCCTACTATGACTGAGGCAAAGTATAACCACACGGAAGATATCCTAAGTTAACAGAATCTCAGTTGCTATGATATAGACACAGAACTCTTGAAATTTGTCCATGTGAATCTTGGATTCCTTATGTTTCAAGTATTTGTATACTGTGAAACTCCAGAGTGCTATAAGAGTTAAGTTTTAGTTAAAAGAATGGGAAAGAAAGAAGGGGATTTGAGGAAACTTGGAAGAACCACTTGAGAGAACAATTTCTCTTTGAGATTATTTTAATGTTAACTTCTCATTGGATAATTTAATTGCCAACTACAGCTATACCAACTGAATTGTCCCAATTTCTCACCTAGTCATAAAGTAAAGGAGGGTTAAAATGCTGGGCCTGGAGCATTTGGTACTTGAATGGGGGACAGTTTAACTGCAGCGCTATCTAGCAACGATTCCTCAATGAACATTTTCAGTAGAGAAAATCATTATATGCCAAGAGTGTCAAGGGGAAGAATCTGCCTAGCCTACGTCCTGCTCCTTGTCTCTAAGACAGGAAAATGCAAAGAGATGAACAATGAGACACACAGTCCCAGCAGAACAAAGTTTACTGGTTAGAATTCAGTCATTGTACATGATGTCTTGACATGTATTTATCTACTACGAGGAAAGGCTATCTCTTGGTAACCCCAGTACTGCCTCTTATACTGTACTTCCTCAGTGCTGGGGAGATAAATAGTTTTGCTCTTCAGGATATTCCCAAGCCATTTCTTCTCTCTGACCCCTTCCAACATTCCCAGATCCTTTTACATTTACCACAGATTCCCTTTATTACCATCGTCTACTGGCATCCTCTCCAAAACTTGGGGCTTGAAAGGAAGAAAAGAAAATAAACCTGATCCCCATTTAATCCATGACTAGTTGGAAGAATGAGTGACAAGAGTGCAGGAGAGCCAAATGAAGTGAGAAGGTGAGCCATGGAAAGTCTGCAGGAGAGTATCGGAACAGAGAGCACAGTAACTGAAGGTATCAGGACAAAAGTGACCTGGTTGTTAAATGCAAAAAAAGGTCAGTGAAGCGTCAGCAGAGAACGGGTACAGGATAGTGGGTCAGGCTGGGGCTGGACCATCGGGGACTCAGAAAGGGCCCTCAGGGTGAAGTCTGATGGAAAGGAAGCTAACGGAAGGTTTTGCAGGGGAGTGGTTATATGATCTGAGCAGTACTTTAAGAAGGTCTCTCCAGGGCTATAGGAATGGCTCAGTGGAGAAGACGTTAACATAACCAGATCAGTTAGTGGGTAATGAAAGTGGTTACAGCGAGAACAACCTAATGGAGTGTCAAGTTGGTTGGTTTGCTATTTTGGAGACCACGTACCACTGTGTAATCCAGGCTTGTCTTGTACTCCCAATCCTGTTTCAGTTCTAGGGTACTGGACTATAGGCCTGTATTTTCATGCTTTGTGGGAATGATGATTTTTTACTATGATGTGACACTTTCAAGAAAAAAGTTATTTTTTCTCCTTTTAGTATGGAAGATAACAGATCAGAGCAACCTACTAAAGCAAGAAAATTGGTAGTGCAATGGAGAGAGGCAAGTGAACAAATAAAAAGAAGTGACTCTAACACATACACAGTTGCCCTCAGGATCAGATAAGTTGGTTGGGGTTTGTTTTTAAGTTTGTTTTATCTGTGGTATTGTGGATTGAGCTCAGAGCCTCACATATGCTAGCCTGAGCTCCACCCCAGATTCTTGTTCATCTAATTTTCAAAAAGGAATGTGAAGTATACAAACGTGCTATAATGTAATCAAGAAAACAAACTGGGCAGATATTTTGGTAAGTAAGTATTTGATAGCTGCTGAAAAAAATTATCAGAGTGACTTGAAATTAATCTCAACAGCTTTTCTGTGATAAAATGAAGTGATAAATGAGGTGTGGCTCTGTTCCTTCCGAAGGCTCTAGAGAGATTCTGTCTCCTTCCTCGGCTCAGGAGGCCCCTTCCACCGATAAAGCCATATGGGAGGATCACAACCTGCCTGCACTGCCACCTCTGCTTTTCTTCTAAGAACCCATGTGATCCTGGGATCTGTGTCATCAGTTCAGCATGACCTCATCTCCAAGTCAACTAACACTTTGACTCCTCCTCACCAGAGATGGGGAAGTGGCCTCTTTCGAAGACTACTATCTCCCTACCATAGACAGGCTGCTCATTCTGATTATGTGAGTTTTTATTAAATAGCTGCCAGCAATTGGAAGGCTTAATTATCTTAGGATACTCTGCCTGTATCTTTTTTGGCATGGGAAAGAAAACTGAACAAGACACATGACATTCATAGCAAAAAGGCTAAAACAAATGTCATCTTTTCCTCACCTTGTAGAAAGTTACCACGGGGGGAAAGAAAAATTTCCTATTCTTTCCCCAAATGGAATAAAACCATATTCAAGGCATTGTTAGAAAAGTAACAAGGAACTATTCCCATCTGCTATTGTCTTAGGAAGTACACAGGTAAAGCAATTTGAGTAGCTTAAGTAATCTACCTACATATTCTCTCCATTTCACTCAGTGAGATAGAGATTTGGTTAAGGGATTAATTGTGACTGGGAGCAGAGTGAGGAGTGTTCAAGTCCTTGCTTTATGTGGTAAAACAGAACATGTTAGTTAATATATTTGTGATTTTTTTTTGAGAAGGGGAAGGTACAAGTACTTACAGAAGCAGGCATCAGAAATGGGTAGGACTGATTTTTGCCTTAACGTAAATAAATGGAAATATAACTCCTTCCGGGGGAAAAAAAAATAAGTTCACTAGCCAAGAATGAGGCAGAAAGAAAAGAAACAGTCTTGTTTTTAAGTGCAAGAATAAACTGACAATTGTTGCAAAATGTTATAGGCCCACTTGAGGGGGAAGAACACAGCTGTACAGAACAGTAAAGCCATAAAATGGTAAATCACAATGTGGATACAAAAAGTAGCCGGGATGGATATGGGTATTCCACATGATAAAGGAAACTACAACAGTCAAGGTGCTGACTTTTGAGCTAACAGGGTCTGAGGCATGTCTGCAGGAAAAAGACTTACTGGGGAGTAGAGATGGAGGTTCTGGTGAAGGAATGATGCCTTGGACGACATGAAACTAGAAGCTAAGGTCATCTAGAACATTACTAAGCTGGTAATGGGAGAAAGACAAGTTTCACAGATTAACTTTTCAAAAGCCAACTGTTTAGCATCTTAGAAATCACAGCAAAACTACCTAGATCTCAATGCCTTCCAAAAACAACAACAACAAAAGAGTATGTCCAATGTTTTACTCACCGGTCTTAAAATAATTCACAATCGAATCTCTAGTAATTCCTGGAATCTTGCAGGTAGAATATAACATTCGGAATTGGTACATGTCTAATGGAGTATTTCCAGATTTATGTACAGGTAATTTTTCTCTATTAAAAAAGCATTTTGATTAAAAAGTCATTGATAAAACTTACTATCAAGCATCAAAACTATATTATTCTTCCTCCAAATAATCGAGTTAGATTGACAGCATTTGCTTATTTCCCACATCAGGCAAGCCCATGGTTCAGCAAGTGTCAGGGTCCTTACTGGCCTTACATTCCCAGCTCAGCACATGCGAGAGCCCTTAGTGCCCATAATTTCATGGCTCAGCCCATGCCAGAGTCTCTAGCACTCTTAACTTTTTTTTCTTTTTGGTTTTTTTGAAACAGGGTTTCTCTGTGTAGCCTTGGCTATCTGCCTGCCTCTGCCTCCCAGGGTGCCAGGATTAAAGGCATATACTACCATACCCAGGTCCTCTTACCTTCTTAGCAGCTGCCAGAAGTTCAAGTTGTGCCAGAGAACTACACTTCCTCTTTCTAACTGAGTGCCTTCCCTTTCAGGCCAGTAATGTTCAAAGTGAGGGGTAGGACCCACAAAGTTCACATTCAGCTGTGATGGTATACGCACATCCAGGTAGGCAACATTGAGCCACCACTCCTCAAGCTAAAAGAAAGGAAGAACATTAGTTCTTCAAAATATTTGAATATGTAACTGCCAGCAAGTAAAGAGAACATGCCACATTTGCTCCTTATTCTTCCATGTTCAAAGCCACATTCTGAGTCCTCACAGGTAATGGAAACTGCTACTGTAATAACTTCCCTTCCTGTTCTCCCTCCTCCTCACTTTTGGAACTATAAAATCTTAACTATTAGCTGGTTTAACTCCATCATCAGATCCTAATGTCCAACTATCCCTGTTAGCCAACTTGGGTGATACCTAGAGTGAAAAGAGTTACTTGGCTATTTGTAATGTTCCTTCAGCAAAACCCCCTGAAATCCTAGTTAGAAATGCAAGACCCTTGAGTGTGCTTCTAACTAATTTACACTTTTATGTGTCCCCTTTTACAGCAAGTAATTGAATTTCTTTCCTAAGTAGGTAGATAGTATCATGTCACTTAAAGTTTTTTAATGGAGGTGCAAACTGTAATTAGAAACCCAGATAAAGATAAAACAAATATAAGCAGAACAACTTCTTTACCTTTACTCCCATTTTTTTTTTAATTAAAATATAAAAACTGAGAACAAAAGAATCTGGAATCAGGAAATGTTATTATTTTCATCATAAGGATCAATGTCTCATGAAAAAACAAAGTTTCTCTTTAAAAATGTAAGTCACCATCATTATTTTTCAACTAAGGCAATGCTTTCTAATTATGAAAAGTCACCCTCTAATTCCTACACTGGAGACGTGGCTGAGCTAATGGGGTCAGAAGAGAGTGCTGCTGGGAAGGGAGACCCAATAGTCAGGGCAGCTTTCCCTTCTGTCTATTTACCTCAGCTACTTCCCGCTTCTCCCGAGCTCTGTCTAGATATGCTCATGCCAGTGCGGCCTGAAAGGCTGTTTCCAGCAAACACAGTCTATGAATCACCTGCATCAGAGCCCCGTGGATGGATGAGAGCATGGCTCAGCGGTAGAGAGCTTGCCCAGCATGCATAACCCTGGATCCTATGACCAATACTGGCCAAAACATAGACCTCATAGAGGAATTAAAATAAGGAGTTCTGGCCCCTTATGGACTTCCTGAGTCAAAAATTACTGATTCCAGCAAATCTGCATTTTAGCACATTATCAGGTAAGTAAAAAGCTCATTTATAAAATAAATGCTTTCCAATTAAGTAAATCATTCTTTTGTGACCATAATGGCGATGCCAAGATTTTACAGTAATAATTTAAACATGAAAGCTATGCACATTTTCAATTCTCCTTTAAATATCAAGATTTCAATTTAAGTACGCAAAATAAATACCCAGTTTCTTTTTCCTTTAGCTCTTTCAAGTAACTTCTTATGCAACTGTTCACCAACTCCATTTTGAAACTTTTGAACTATTTCTTCAGTTTTCTTATATTCCTCTTCATTCGCAAACGGTTTTACTATAAAAAAGTGATTATTCAGATGTAAGTATCTCCATATCACCACATTCTTTTACAAACCTAAACATTACTAGCACACAATGAGGTTTTAGTTTGCAGCATGAAAATGGCAATGCAAAAATATCGATTTTTCAAAAAGGCACTAAAACGGTGAATGCTGTACAGTGCACTCACAATATTCTGAAATCATCACCAAATTATTCTGGATGGTAGTTAATGAGGTAAAGCTATCATCGAGCTATTACTGCAGTAGAAAGTATGTCCTCAACCGCAAATAACAGAAGGCAAAGCATGTTTCCATTAATGTTCAAACAAGAACCATGACGCCTATATATGCAATGCAATATGTATTTAGGCTGCCCGATGGCCAAAAATAGTTTGCTACTAAAGAAAAAAAGAAGAAAGATGGAAAAGAAAACAATTCAAGTTCCCTAGTTCATGAAAATCAATTGTTTTGAAAATTAAAGCTTGTTAGAAATCAAATTAATATATTCTTTCTGTTTCATATTTGTCTCTTTAAAGTCTGATCTAGAACAACGTAAAATCCAATCTAAAATAGCTGCACTCAGAGAGAATAAATAAAGTCAATACTCAAAAAACAGTCAACAATCTGTGAATTTAAAATAAATTAGTATTCCCAAATGAAAGTAGATTTAAAGAGAAGAAGAAAAAGAAGAGGAGGAGGAGGAGGAGGAGGAAGAAGAAAGTATTTGAAAAGCAGGAGAAAACAGGGCTGAGGGGATAGCTACTTTTTAGCATGTGGGTCCTGGGTTTGCTCCCTGGAACCTATGTTAAAAACAAACACATACAAACAAACATCATGGAGCAGAGGCAAGTAGGCATACACCATCCAAAACAAACAATAACAAAAGGTAAAAAAGGACAGCACACACGCAGCCACAGACGCCCGCCTGCTCCCAGTTAAGCCAGGGAACAAAGCATTTTTTCCACTCACTCTAGAAATGACACTAAAATGACAGTAAAGTGGTTTTAAAAGAAGTACAGAGCAGTGAGATGCTCAGCAGTTAAGAGAACTGACTGGCTGTTCTTCCAGACGTCCTGAATTCAATTTCCAGCACTCACATGGCAACTTACAACCATCTACAATGGGATCTGATGCCATCTTCTAGCATTTTAGATTGACACACAGACAAAGCACTTGTACACGTAAGATACATTTAACAATAAATCTAAAAAGAACTATTCCATGAGAGGGGCAGATGCAGGGCAAAGCAAAGGCAGGGAAACAGGAAATAACAGACAATTAAGATAACATTTCACAAACCTAGAAAACACTGTGAGCCAGACACAGTGGCAAGTCTATACAGTCCAGGCCACTTGAGAGGCTGAGGTGAAATAAGTTCAAGGTCAGCCTGGACAACATACTAGGACCCTGTTTCAAAAAAAGCCAAACTAAACAAGCAAAGTGGGGAAAATGATGATTGGCTTTGTAAAATAGAGAAAATAAGTATCTTAGGCCTGGAAATAAAAGGTTACAGAAAATACAAGAAAGGTTAGAAGTCTATCAAGAAACAAGCAAATTCTGACAGGGTTCAAGAATTTAAGGTGCAAGGTACTTTCAAAAACAAAGGGAAAATGAAGGATGGAATGTTTTCAACCTAATGAAACAGTCTGAAGCTGTCTGACCTACTGTAAACATTATACAGTATACGTATACTGAAATCACATAGTACCAACTAGTGTGTTTGTGTGTGTGTGTGTGTGTGTGTGTGTGTGTGTGTATGGTACTAGCTTAAATTTAATTTCAACTTTTAAAATAAAATTAAATTGCAACCTGAACAATTAGTCATACTCTATTTCCTCCCTATCCCAAACTGATCAGTTCAAGGAAAGAGTACTGACTCAGGTGTGTGTGTGTGCTAATGAAGTTCCTAGGTCGCTATACTCAACAGTTAGCTCCACTAGTCACCAAGTCCAAGCCGTGCACACAGAGTCCCCATGAGCTTCCCAGAATCGTGGTCTTAATGTGAATGTCGAAAGACTGGCACTGTTGTGGAGCCTATCCTTGGGTTTCACAGGCGATAGTGTTTTAATCAGAACACCATGCCTCCATATATGCAACCTTCACAAGATTTGGTCTGCGGCTCTCTCTTATAGCCAGGCTGGGTAAGGTTCACTGGACTCTCGTATGAGATGATGGCTTCTTCCACTTCATGCCCCACCTACCATGACCTCAACCTGCTAGTGTATATAAAGAGGGAGGTTTACTGAAGGCAGGGTCTCTGGCTACCTGGCTTTCAGGAGGGGGTAGGTGTTTTCAATGATGCCCCCAGCTGGAAGTCGCTACGCTCCTGTAAGTAAGCCTAATAAACTCTCTAGCTTACCAAACAGGACTTGGGTAGAATTATTTCTTTGGTCTGTTGCTGGTGCCTTCTCTGGGCTGAGTGAACAACTGTTCACGTCTCCTTGGAAAAGCTCACACATTTGGTGCTCAAACAGAGAGAGAGAAAGAGAGACGCAAGAGAGGTAAAGGTGACTTTGCACGCAGCTGTAATGGGCCAGCAAACGTGGACTAAAGCTGATGGTAGTGGAGCTGCGTAGGCAATTCTGATACGGACAGCTTCTCCTTGTAACCGACAGGGTCTCCTTGCTGTAGCAGCAACTGAATTACCTCTGTTGTGGGTCATAATACCTGTAACTGAGTCTACCTGTCCACAGGAAAGAACTTGCCTACATAAGGGAAGAAAGACAATGAGAAAAAGATATGTGGGTGGCACCCTCCTTGCTAGTCTCTGGGTTGGCCATTAGGTAAACACGGGAACGGGAGAGAGGTGCTGGCTCGCTGTGTTTTTAAGACTGGAGGGGCATAAGGGAAAGCACACATTACATCTGTCCTATGCATCCCCTCCCGACACCCAAAATCTTGGAGCACAGCAGACAAATTGAACAAAGGTGAGGAGGAAATGAGGTGAAGTGATAGCAATGGGCTAGCACGAGAGGCAGTGTGTCACCCTATTCACGGACCCCGGGACTGTTTCGAGTTCTGATGCTTTGCTGAGCCCAGTGATGGGCTGTGATCTTTACAGGGTAAGAAAGAACCTAGCTGATCTGAGGGACTTAGAGTGTAATGGAAAGGTGTAGAGTGTAAGGGTTATAATGTGCTAAAAGGAAATTAAAAAATAAAAGCAACAGAAAGGGGACCAGTCTGAGTCACTCAGATAGAGTTAGGGGCATAGGAATAAGAGACCAAGAGAGTATGTAACCAAATGAAGAGTGTGGGAGGAAACCACGTAGGAACCTATGGTTTTGCAACCTAAGTGAAAATATAGTGCAAGAGGGCTAGAACACCCATGGTATGAAAGAAAGTGGAGGAAGTACTCGAAGCAGAAGGTCTAAGTGGGAAAGGGTACGGGCGGGAGAAAGGAGGCTCCCCACGCCCCACTGGAAGAGTCATATACCAACTGAAATCCGTGAGTTAGTTAAATAAATTAATCAATAACTTTAAAAGGAACATGAACTTGGGAAAGGGTTGAGATAGGAGGTGCTTATGATCTTCAGCAGGAGGCACCTCAAAATCAGAATGGCACCATATTTCCCATAAGGAACAAACCAGGCCTTCAAAATTCTTAAAGCACACACAGTTCAGAATTCTATACTCAGCTAACAATCAAGTGAAAACACTTCGCTCTTTTTTTGTCTTCCCAAATATTCTTTTGCAGGCAGCTACAAGGATGAAGCAATGTAAGAAAACAGACTAAGAGAGAGAGAGAACACAGGAGAGAAGTGAACTGCCAGAACGCTGGCAAATGAAATCTCTGCATAGCAGCTGTGTAGCAAGCTCAAGGAAGTCCACCCTCATTTAGAAAAGAAGGAGAAGGGACAAAGGAAAAGGGGAAAAGAGAAAGAGGAAGGAGAACCCCACAAAGCACATTTTTAAAGAGGAAATAAAACGGACTGTTTTATGCCTAACTGTATCCAAGAATGTTCACCCATTCAAGTGTTTAGGACTAAATTATGAATACAAGGGGACAAAAATAAGCAATGAAAAAGGACGAGGAAATGCAACCCCTTTGGGGGTTGAACAGCTCATTCACAGGGGTCACTTAAGACCACTGAAAAACAAAAACATGTACATTATATTAACATATACTATGTTTATATTATATTAACAGTAGCAAAATTACAGCTATAAGGTAGAAATGAGAAAAATTGTATGGTGTGGGTCACCACAATATGAGGAACAGCATGGGTTGCAGCATTATAAAGATTGAGAGCCACTCCTCAAAACCCCAAATGGCCAGGTGAATTAAGGTAAAGCTGTATTAAAATCAGGTGGCTGCTGATTTCAAGTGGTGATTTCATATATGGACGATGAGAAGGAGAGGGAAATTTTGGATATGCAGGATTGCACATATGCTTGGGACAGATGTTAGGGAGCAAACTACACAAGTATTTCAAGGAACTAATTTACAATATCTACAACTACAAAATCCAAGAACTATAAGATTATTTCAAATATGGTGATAGCAAAAGAAACAGGGAAGATTTCAAAATCTTTGCCCTAAGAGGGACTGGTACAAGCAGATAGAAACAAAGGACTTATATTCACACTGCAGGCCTAGCAAAACAATCTGACTTTTCAAGTAACGGAAATAATAACTTTTAAAAAGCTTTGCATATTTTAAGGATGAGCCTAGAAGAATCAGCTTGAGACCCTTGTCAACATTATATCTATGCTACTAACAATATTAATCTAGAAGATTATGAATATTATGAATATTAATTAGAAGATTATGAACATACCTGATTCAAGGTATTTTTTTAATGATTCTTCAAGTGAAGGAACAGGCAATGATGGAAGAGACTCCTGGTACTGAAATGTGCGTTCTTCAATTGATTTAGCCAATTGATTTTCCATGATATAATCACAGTAGGAAAACTGAAAAAGAGAGAGAGAGAGAGAGAGAGAGAGACCTCAGTCAGAACTTCAATCTCATTAACTATTTGTAAACTTGCCAGATAAAGAAAACAACTTGAATATTAAAAATGTAAGTTTAGCATGCTAGGAATCAGAACATCGTCAGCAGCCATCAGCACCCAACACCAGACAGTGCAGTGCGTCACAGAAAACACACCCCCTAACTTACACACTGCCCTTCAGAGGTAACATTCCCTGCCACTTTACCTATGAAAAGAAGAACCTCGGCTTCGGTCGTTTGTTTAAGAGGTCATATTGGGTACTCGAATGCAGATGTGCGAGATGTAGTCTCCCTCCTACAAGGCAACATTATTATAGCGAAGCTTCGGAGTCTTGCTGGGTGGGTAGGACTGGGTGTGTAGAACAAGAAACTCTGAAAAGCATATGCAGGGGTGTGCAGGAATGGGCCACAGAATATCATACACTCTAAGAATTGACAAGCTTATTGTGTACTTGAGCCTCTTTTGGGTATATGCCTAGGAGTGGTATGGCTGGATCTTGAGGGAACACTATTCCTAGTTGTCTGAGAAAGCGCCAGATTGCTTTCCAGAGTGGTTGTACAAATAAGGACATTTGCTCAACCAAGTTTGTAGCAGCTTTATTTGTAATAGCCAGAAGCAGGAAACAGCCCAGATGCCCCTCAACTGAAGAATGGATGCAGAAATTGTGGTACATCTACACAATGGAATACTATTCAGCAATGAAAAATAAGGAAATCATGAAATTTGCAGGTACATGGTGGGACCTGGAAAGGATCATCCTGAGTGAGCTGTCCCAGAAGCAGAAAGATACACATGGTATATACTCACTCATATAGACTTGTAATATAGGATAAACCTACTAAAATCTGTATATCTAAAGAAACTAATCAAGAGAGAGGTCCCTGACTAAAATGCTCAGTCCCCATCCCAAATGGCAGAGAGGAAGGACATCAGAAAAAGAAGAAAACAGGAAACAAGCTAGAAACCCGCCACGGAGGGCCTCTGAAAGGCTCTGCCCTGCAGACTATCAAAGCAGAGGCTGAGACTTATGACCAACTGTTGGGCAATGTGCATGGAATCTTATGTAAGTGGGAAATAGTAAGATCTGGAGAGGACAGGAACTCCACAAGGAGAGCAACAGAACCAGAAATTTGAACACAGGGGTCTTCCCAGAGACTCATACTCCAACCAAGTACCATGCATAGAGATAACCTAGAACCCCTGCACAGATGTAGCCCATGGCAGTTTAGTGTCCAAGTGGGTTCCATAGTAATGGGAAGAGGGACTGCCTCTGACATAATCTGATTGGCCTGCTCTTTGATCACCTCCCCCTGAGGGGGGAGCAGCCTTACCAGGCCACAAAGATGACAATGCAGCCACTCCTGATAAGATCTGATAGACTAAGATCAGAAGGAAGGAGAGGAGGACCTCCCCTATCAGTGGACTTGGGGAGGGGCATTCGTGAAGGGGGTGGGTGGGTGGGATTAGGAGGGGAGGAGGGAGGGGCTTATGGGGGGATACAAAGTGAATTACAAAGTATAATTAATAAAAATTAAAAAAAAAAGGACTCGTAGCTAAAAAAAAAAAAAAAAAAGAATTGACAAGCTGAGATAACTTAAAACTGTGCAGATGGCATGGGACCTAATCAGATTGGCTTTGAGAATCACAAACCAATCTTGAATATTTTCTACATTTGTGGTAATTTTCATCAAAATCAAACAAACCCCATATATGAATAAGGTGTATTGGTATTAAATGAAAAAATAAGATTTCTGAAAGAATCATCTATAAATTCCATATAAAAAACAGTAACTAAGAAAACAAGAAATTTGATACTGAATGAAAACTTCCTGTCCTTTCATATCCTATTTTAAAATAGTAAAGTGAAACAAAATATATTATTCATATATTATTAAAGTTAATATTAGAAACAAAGGCATGGCAGATTATTTTTGGCTAGTACCCCTTCCACCACTCTTAACAAAATCTAGAATTTCTGCTGTATCTGTAAGGACCTATCTATATGTCTCCTGCCCTCTGGATGTGCCACCTCCTGGTCGCAGCTCTAAAATGAATTGCATATATACTTTCCCTCCTCCTTATCTCTCTGTCAGTGCTGACGGAGTGGATGCCACCCACAACAAGCACCTTTGGACCCATTTACAGAAGCCATTTTGTCAGAATCACCTTTCTAAGCCCCGAAGTCCTACTTCTAGATGAGAAAGAAAATGAAAACAAAGGGAGGAAGAGGCCCAGTGCTGGCCATGGCATATGCCTAGCTGCAGTGGCAGAAGGATCGCTTGAGTCCGGGGGTTTAAGATCAAATTGTATAATATAATGAGACAGACTAAACAACAATAATATAAACCCCTCTTGTTTTATTAACACTGTTGTACTGTTAGCTTTGTTACAGAGAAGAGGTTAGTCTATTCCATTAATAGAATCAGACACCCACAGGATCTCAAAGTTCCGCCTTTTTCTTCTAATAGTCTCACTTACATCCATTTGAATATTGATAAACAGCTTTGGACCTAATAGAAATGCAGTCCTTGGTCCCAAGTACAGACTCAGCCACTTCCTAACCATTTGCTCCTAGGGAAGTGAATGGAGGAAAAAAAAATAGGATAATTTATTTGGTGGTGGGTGGCCAGCGCATAAGCGTGATAGCCAAAGGACAATTTGCTGGAGTTTGCTCTCTTCTTCTACCATGTGGGTTATCTGCTGGCTGCAGGTGCTGATAGCTGAGCCATCTCCCCGAGCCTCAACATTTTTTTTTTTTTTTTGAGACATGACATCACTACATCACCCTGGCAGGGCTGGAACTAGCTACTGTAAACCAGGCTTGCCTGAATTCCCATGCATCTGCCTGCCTCGGACTCCCTGGTGCCGGGACTAAAGCTGTGTGCCACCAATATGTGCCCAGCTCTAGGCAGGTAACTGTAATTTGAATCTTTCTCGCTGAATCTGTAACCATACAATTAGTCATCAGATTTTTTTTTTAATGTCCTAAAAAGAATGCCATAAAAAACAATCCATCCTGAAACAACTATATTATGGACTATAGCAGGCAGAATTGTTATGACAATCTCAACTCCTACCTACCCCCCGCCCCCTTTTAGTCCCCAGAACTTGTTATTATGACAGAAGATCATGACTCCTGTGGCTGCAACTGGGTTTCATCTAAAAAAAAAAAAAAAAAAAGAGAGAGAGCTTAAAATAGGGAGCACCTAACCTAACCTATCTGAGTCCTTGGGGCAGAGCGCTGCCACCGCCTCTATTTCTACATTAAGAACTCAGAGACCATCGCTGCCGATAGGGAAATGGGAATCTGAATCCCACTGCAAGTGAGCAGGAATTAAATTCTGCCAACTTGCATGAACCTGAAAAAAAAAGATTCTCCCCCTAAAACTTCAGAAAAGAACTCATAATAACTAAGCTCACTCAGGCTTCAGATTTATAGAAGCTCAAAGTCTGTGTTCATTTAGCCGCTAAGCTTGTCGTGACAGCAACAGGAAACTAATACAAGCAAGCTACGGTAGGCTGTTCTCTTTACACTTCCTTGTCACTTAAGAGACCCCACAGAGCCAAGAACAAGAGTACAAGGTGATTATAGATTCTTTAAGAGTTGTCTTTTCAACCGTACAGACTAAGTTAAATAATCCCAGTAACATTAGGAAAACCATTCACAATGTATTTAACTAGAGTGGACTTCCTCAAAACAAGGTGATGTGAACTCAAGATAAGTGGAAAAGAGAACCAGGAAGAACAAGTAAATAAACAGTGTCACATACCAGCAAACCAAGAAGTGGTTCAGGACTGCCAGGAGCCTGCTTGAACAACTCTGATTTGAAACCACGGGGACCCGAACAAGACTGGTGACTGTGAGAAGGAAGAAATGCGTTCAAGTAAATATCAGGAAGGGGGTGAGAAGGGCTAGCGAAAGAAGTTGCAAACACACGGAGAATGGTCAGGTTTAAATCACTACAGCGCTATGTTCCAGGTATCCTAGTAGATGGACCCGGGCGGCACAGAAGAAGCAGAGAGCCATGAAGTTCAGAAACTCCTCCCACCAGCCCAAGGGCAGGTCCGCACAGTGGATGAGAACAAGTGGGGAGAAAACAGGGAACCCGCATGCACAAAAACAGCCAACCGATCAAGCACCCCGACACTCCAGCAGGGTGGCGCAACTGGGGGACACCCCAGATCCGAAGGGCGGGACACCGAGGGGACAACACGCCTGGGCCAAAACCGGGGCCCCTAGGCTCATAGCCCGACGGCATTCAGTTTGTCTCCGCGCAATCGCAGGGGCCCTCGACCCCTCGCCGCTGAAGGAGGGCGGGCACCTCGCAGGCGGATGCGCGGATGCGCGGATGCTCACCTCCCGCACCCGTCCTCGCCCTCGGCCACCAGCCGCCAGCCGGGTCGGCCCGCAAGCCCTGGGCTGCCCAGAAGCCGGACTAGGACGGAAAGCAGCGAGGGTCCCGCCCTGAGCGCGTCTAGGGACGGGATTGGACGAGACGACACGAGGGTCCCGCCCTGAGCGCGTCGAGGGACGCGATTGGGCGAGACGCCACGAGGGTCCCGCCCCGCGATGGAAGGAGTAGGCCGCGGAGGCTGGCTGCTGGGGACCGGGTCCCGCCCCCGCCGGCTCCCCTTGCGCCGGTGGCGTTCCTGGCTGCGGACCCGGGAACGCGAGCAGAAAAACAAATTAGCGCTCTGCAGTCCCTGCTGCACCAGCTTCCTGCCGGATGCCCCGGGAGGCTGGCCTCGCTCCAGAGAGATGTAGGCGGCTCCGCCCACGCGCGGGCACAGCCCTGTGGATGGGTAAGGACGCAGGAGCTCAGCCTGCGCTTCACCCAAACTCTTCGCGGTTTGGCGCTGTGTCCTGGCGCTCGGCGCTCCCAGCCGCCCCTCCCCCTTGCGGGTGCAAACCTCCTTTGCACCGGGCCCGAGCAAGAATTTATACTCGCGTTTTAACGGAGGCATTTTACTGTCCGCCCTGAAATAAAGTGTTACAATTTTAATCTTATATACACTGTTTATTCCTACCATTGTTTGATTTTTGTGGAAGGGAAAATATTTCGCACGCTCTGGCCTAGTTATCCAATACGGTTTAAAGAATTCATTTCAAATTACTGTGTTAAAAGCCACTCACAATTCCTTTTGATAAAAAGACATCCCCTGAACTGACCGAAGGCAGTGTGTCATTAGAGGGCTTGGTGTGACGTCTTGAGTGTTCTTCGGAATTAATAATGTGTTTCTTCATTCCTGCACAGCTTGCTAGAGGTGTTACGTAATCAAGCTGAACCATTTCTCCAAGCTTGTCACAGTCCGGGTGTGCTGGAGAACCCCCCCTGACCCCTCATGGTCTGTAACTGTTTCATTCTGGATAATGTTAAATTTCGCTTACAAGATAGAATTATAAAACTGACTGGGCTTCTCAGAAACCTTCATTGTACTTTTTTTTTTCCCTTTAATTTTGGCACCTCTTCAAAAGTTTATGCATACTGGATATTTGCTGGTTGGCAAAGAATTTAGGGCCACTCACCTTCGCTATTTTGTGTGTGTGTGTGTGTGTGTGTGTGTGTGCGCGTGTGTGCGTGTGTGTGTTTGGTAATGGGATCAACGCAGGTGGGTATACAGCGTCTCTACCAAGGAGCTACATCCCAGCTTCACGTTCCTCTCCCTCCTGGTCTGCTTAAATAGAAACAAAGTGTCTGTTTCTGACACTTTGAGAAAGGGAAAATTGTGGGACTGAAGGAAATGAGTGAAGCATGGAGTATGTGAGGACAATGATAATCCATGTGAAAATATAGATAAGCGGACTCTTTAAAATATTTTCTTCCAACTGTGTAATAAATATTTTAATGTCAAACTTGAAATTATGTAGCACTCGCATTAAATTTGAACAAGCTTGCGTTTCTTAACGTAGGCTAGACAGGTCTTGATTGGTGAGGAAGATGCTCCAGGTATTTGGAGTATGTCTTAGGGCAACAAGTTGTCCCGAGACTTAAAATTTGCTAGTGGTGATTGTAACTTTTTAAAGTGTTTATAAAAATCATTCACTTGTAGCACTGTGTGTGAAGGGATTTGTATCAGCCCAGGACCCCCAAGACCAAGTTCTCAGCACAAAGGAGATTTATTTGCCTCAGAGAGACAAAGGGCAGGGAATAAGGGGCAGAGACAGGAGATAGAGGAGGAATGCTTCTACTTACTGGCTTGCTCCCAAGGCTTGTTCAGCCTGTTTTCTTAGGAACTAAAGACTACCTGCCCAGAGAAGCCATATCCCATCAATCAAAAACTGCCCCACAGACGTGTCCACAGGCGAGTCTGATGAAGGAAATCTCTCAGTTAAGGTTCCTTCTCGCCAGGTGACACTAGTGTGTGACTGGTCGGCACTTAGTCATAATGTAATTTTTAGAATGTCTTGTCATTCCCCCAAAGAAATAACATTAGCAGTCACTCACTCTCCAACCCTACCCTCAACTCCCTAGCCCTGTGTAACCGGCAAAGTACTGTCTGTCACTCTAAATTTACCTAACCCAGGCACTTTGTACAAGCTGAATCATTCACATCATCTGGCCTTTTGTAACTGAAATTCTTTTACTTACATTACTCAGATTCATCTGTGTTTTAGCCCGTAACAGTATTTCTTTATTTTACCAGGCCAAATAACACCACACTGTATGTATGGATATACCATATTCTGCTTAAGCATTCATCAGGTAACTGTTGCCACCTTTTGGTTTTCTGTGTTTGTGTTTGTGTGTGTTCGTGTGCGTATGAGTGTGTGTGCATGTGCCTGTGTGTGTGTCAGAGAACAACCTTACATATTGCTCCTGGGTTGCCATTTATTCCCTTCTCTCCCTTTTCTGATAGGTTCTCTTACTGGCCTGGAATTCCCCAAGTAAACAGGCCAGCAAGCCCAAGCAATAGTCATGTCTCCACTTGCTTCTCCAGCCTCAGGTTGTAAGTGTGTGCCACTACACCTGGCTTTTTAAAATTTAAACTAGGTTCTGGGGTTCAAACTCAAGTCTTCATGCATGCAAGTCAAGCCCTTTATTGATTAAGCTTTCTCCCCACCTTTTTTTTTTTTTTTTTTTTTTTTGTGATAGGGTCTCTTGTAGCCCAGGCTTGCCTTGAACTGACAAATCAGTTGAAGATGACTTTGAACTTCTTGGCCCTCCTGTCTCTGCTTCCCAAGTGCCGTAGGACCACACCAGCTTTCCTTTTGAAATTTTGAGAAATAATCCTACTACACACATACAGGTTTTATAGGAACATCTGTTTTCAGTTACCCTGGGTACGCCTGTCCTATGTTTAACACTTTTAGGAATGATCAAGCAGTTTTGCAAAGTAGCTGTAATGTTTTTACATATCTGCCAGCAGTTTTCCATTTCCCTAACTACAGTAAGGTAACAATCCCATTTGCTGCCACCATATTCACTCTCAGCAGGCTGGTGGCCACAGCTTGCAGGCTCTGTTTGCTTCTCTGTAAACACTGACACCCTTGACTTGGGTTCAAGTGCTTTCTAACCACTTATGCATCTTCTTTAAATAAATGTCTCTTCTGTTCCTTCACTCATGCTTAAATTATTCTTTCTCCTACTGTTGAGTTACAAGTTGTACTGAGCTCTCCTCAGGGCCACGCTGCTGTTATTCGTCTTCAGGAGTTCTGTTGCGTCTGCTCGAGAAACATTATCCGTAGCTGGGCTTGTTGAGTACTGACATTCATGGGACCCTTTTCTTTGTATCCAGTCATCTCTTGCAACCAGTTGTAAACACTTCTGCCCAAATTGTGTGTCCTTGGGGAAGGGCTAGATGATATAGGCAGGGAAGGGCTAAGGGAGGCAGTTCTTTCTTTCAGCCATGGGGTGGGGTGGGGGGGAGTCATTTTCCATACCGATTGCAGACCATCCATGGCTGCTTTCTGATCACCTATGCTTCCATCCGGATATCCACACTCATTGCACTGTGAATAAGTCTAATAAATGTATTGGTTCTCCTGGATGAACAATTACCTATCCACTGGGACCTTGGAAAGGGGGCAAATGTTTTTTATGTCTATCCCAAGGAAGGAATTTTAGCAACACAGCTGTTATGTGTTCTGGATACAAGTCCCTTCTACAATAAATGATTTGCAGATATTTTTCTCCCACTGTTCGACCTGCCTCTTCATTTTCTTGGTAATGTCTGTGGTGGTTTAAGTGAAAATGGCCCCTAGAGGGTCATGTATTTGAGTGCGTGGTCCCCAGGTGGTGGAACTGTTTGGGAGGGATTAGGAGATGTGACCTTCTTAGAGTAGTTTTGTCACTTGTGGTGGGTTTTGAGGTTTCAAATCACTCATTTCAGCATGTGCACGCACACTGCCTTGCATTTGTGGATCAAGGTGTAAGATCTCAGCTGCTGCTCCAGGGCCTTGCCTGCCCGCCTGCGCCATACTCCCCACCATAATGGCCATGGACGTTAACTCTCTGAAACTGTAAGCTGCAGATAAACTCGTTCTCATAGAAGTTGCCTTGGTCATGGTGTCTTATCACAGCAGTAGAAATGTAACTAAAGCAGCATTTGTTATGATATACATTTTCATTTCATGAGGTTCAATTAATATGTCTTTTTAAAAATTTAAAATCTTGTGATAATCTCTCTAACAAATCATTATGTTCTCTAAAGACTTTTATAGTTGTTGTTGTTGTTGTTTTTTAAAATCTTGTGATAATCTCTCTAACAAATCATTATGTTCTCTAAAGACTTTTATAGTTGTTGTTGTTGTTGTTTTTTAAATTTATGCCTACAGGGTAGGTGTGTGTGTGTGTGTGTGTGTGTGTGTGTGTGTATGTGTGTGTGTTAAATAGTGGTACAAATCCATTTTTGTGTGTGAAAATTACATTTGTCCCAGGACCACCTGATACAATGACTCTTCTCTTCCCAGTGATCCCTTTGGCCCATGTGTCAAAGATGAACCTTCCACAAATGTTAAGAGTCTGGGTATGGACTCTCAGATGTATTTGATTCACCCATGTGCCTCTCCTTATCTAGCACAATTTCTCTGAGAACTCCACACCTGTTTTCCTTTTCAAAGCTATTTTGGTTATTCAGAATCTATTACTTTTCCAAGACACAGCATTTTACAATAATAGTTAGAAACTCCAGAATACAATATTTGTTTTTCATTTAGTATATAAATATTGACTACATTCTGTGCATTATGCTTCTGGGAAGTTAATCTAGTTGGCTTAGTAAGAATCCTTTTTTATTATTATTATTACCCAGCTACATCTTCATTTACACAATTACTATAAAGATAAATTTATTTACAAAGTAAAGCTTGGTAAGAATATTTATTAATAGCATCAAGCTTATCCTCCATATGTTGCATAATATTCAGGCTTATGGTATCTAAAGACTATGCCAGTATAGCTATTCTTAAAAAATGAATAAAAATAATATCTACTCAAATAGATTCCATTGTTG